TGGAGATGCTAGTTCTGCTCTGGATGAACAGCTGAGAAATTGTAACCAGCAATAAAGTGATACACAAAGTACTTAATGTATTTAAATCACCTATACTGAAACTTATGTTGAATTTTAAGAAATTTATGACAACAAAGATTACAAAGTATTTATTTTTAATATCAGTAAGGGTATACAAGTATTTACATACACACAAACATACAATACATACCATATTATCCCTTCAATTTAGATTCAAATTAGACTTTTTCTATCTAATTTAAATTTTCTCTCCTTATTTTATCATTCAAATACATCAATGGTATATCCCTTTTCAAATAATGCAGAGAGCAAAAGGTATAAGCCAACTCAAGACCCTCTTTATTTCTCTAATTGCCTGTTTCTAACACGACTTCAGAACTCAAGTATCAGCATCTTTATCTGCCCTACCAGAATCCCTGAGTCATAATTTAAACTGTTTTGCATTGTTGGGTTGCAAGTTACAGGGATTAAACATTGTTCAAGTATCTGTTTCATTTAAAAGTCAAATAAACTCAATGGTATTGCCTCTTAAAATGTGCCTCTCAGTTTCTCTAATTTCAAATACTGACACCATAGTCATTAATTTTTAGCTCTTAATGCAGAACCCTAAAAATCAGCATCAAGTTGAGATTCTGAAATTTTTTTTCAGTCCATGAACTTTCTGCTACCTATCCCTTATACTTCCCATTATTTCCTTCCTCTAAGGAATCAAGAGTCTTTAAAAATAGATTTAAAATCTAATTATGCATACAGAACTGGGGTGCAAGGGCAGTGAGAGGATTCACCAGAGACAGTGGGGAGCAGGACTGGCAGATCCACGAAGTACATTGCTGAGGAAGGTAAGGGGATGGGACAGGAGAGGTCTGCCATGCCATGTGGGTCACCTCCCTGGCCCGGGCTTGAAATCTCACTGAAGCAGCTGAGGCAGTTGCTGCACTTTAACCCACTAGGCCACCAGGGAGGGCCCTAAATAAAATTATTTTTATTGCACTCCCTCGCAACAAGATTTTCATGGGAATGGACAGCAACTGAAAACAAAAGAAATGCCTAACAGTTTCAAAGATGTAACATACTTTTTATCAGTCATTATAGTGTCTTTATTTAACAGGCAACTGTTAGTGTTCTTTTTCCTTGTGTTTGTTAGTTTGTGGAAAGTATCATTGTGGCTTGTTAAATAGTTATCAAATCACATTTTAAAAGATTACAATTTTATATAATTCTTTAGGGACTTGACCTTAAAATTTTTTCCCTTTTTATTTTTTCTTGAATGTGTATTTTAGAAATTTTTGATGTATTTTCCATCCATTGATATGTTATAGAGTATTATTCGAATATTTTCTGAAGTTTACATTGCTCAATGTTCAAAAAGCTCTTACACAGAATATTTGTCATAGTCTTAGGCTCTCTCAAGATTCATAACAGTGACTGTTCTTGTAAGCAATAGTCTTGCATATGTGGGTATTGCATAATGGGCTTTATTTGGTAAGGATGATGTCACTGCATGGGATGGCCTGAAGGAATTATTAGAAGAACATAAGACTTTTTTGACGGCTAACATTTCTTAATAAATACCATACAGTTGAAAACATTAAATTTTATTTGGACTGGAATGAACCTAGATTTTCCTGGTTTAGCTCTAGAGATAAAGAAAGTAAATCCTACTGTCATAATTACACAGCTGTATAGAAGGAAATAATAAACTTTTTCTCCTTGGTAAAGAAAAACTTAAGAAGAAATCAACAAACATTGGCATTCTTTGTTTCATAGTTGTGAGACCAATTTTTTATTCTGACATTCAAGAATAGTTAGACTTTTTGTTTCTATAGTACTTAGTTTATTGCCTAAGTATAAGATATTATTAGGGAAGCTATACTTTGAGAGACTTTAAAGGTACATAACTAAAAAGAAGCAGAATGCATGAACTACTTACTATATGTGACCTTTTGTTTTACTGCGGTAAAACGAACATAAAATGTACCATTTTAAAATGCACAGTTCATGGTATTAAGTATTTTCACACTGCTGTAAAACGATCACCATCATCCATCTCCATCTCCAGAACTTTATTTTTTCAAACAGAAACTTTGTATCCACAAACAGTAGCTGCCTATTCCTCCCTGCCCCCAGATCCTGTCAACTATTAGGCTACTGTCTCTGACTATTCTAGGAACTCATACAAGTGGTATCATACAATATCTGTCTTTCCTGTCTGATCTAGCATAATGTCAGTTTCATCTTTCATCTGAGTATGAAATAGCCTGTTAGCATACTGAGTTAACAGTTCCAGCAAGTGAAAATAAACTGTTATAAAAAATAAATTAATTAAAAAAAAAAACAATTCCATCAAGTGAACTAGACATTTTAATAAGTTAGGTATTGTGTTAGCTCTGAAGATTTAAAGCTCTTGGTCTCAAGGAACTTAAAATCCAAC